ATCACATTCCATTACATTACATTACATTACATTACATTACATCACATCACATTACATTACATTGCGTTACATTACATTACATTACATTACATTACATTACATTACATAACATTACATTACATTACATTACATTACATTACATTACATTCCATTACATTACATTACATTACATTACATTCCATTACATCACATTACATTACATTACATTACATTACATTACATTACATTACATTACATTACATTACATTACATTACATTACATTACATCACATTGCATTGCATTGCATTGCATTGCATTGCATTGCATTGCATTGCATTGCATTGCATTGCATTGCGTTGCATTGCATTGCATTGCGTTGCATTGCATTGCATTACATTACATTACATTACATTACATTACATTACATTACATTGCATTACATTACATTACATTACATTACATTCCATTACATTTCATTTCATTACATTACATTACAGTACATTACATTTCATTACATCTCATTACATTCCATTTCATTACATTTCTTTACATTTCGTTACATTTCATTACATTACATTACATTACATTGCATTGCTTTGCATTGCATTGCATTGCATTCCATTCCATTCCATTACATCCCATTCCATTCCATTCCATTCCATTCCATTCCATTACATTACATTTCACTACACTACACTACATCACATTACATCGCATTCCATTACTACTACTACTGCTACTACTACTCCTCTACTACTACTTCTACTTCTACGATCACTACTATCACGACAATTACTAGTTCCAGTATTCGTACTACTACCTGCTGCTACTACTACTACTACTGCTGCCACTGGTGCTACTATTACTATTACTACTACTACTACTACTACTGCTGCTGCTGCTGCCACTACTACTACTACTACTACTACCACTCATACGAATTTTACTACCACTATTATGACGACTTCTATTATTACTACTACTACTACTACAACTATTACCATTACTTCTACTACTATTTGTTTTCCTGTCATCATTATGACTGCCGCTGCCACCGCCGCTGCCATCACCATGATTACTACTACCAAAGTGAAACGCGTCAAGATGGGAGTTCGTGTGGCCATTTTTTCTGGGCGGGAATGCAGCCCGTGAAGAGTTTCCCAGAGGTTCTCAGCTTACATAAGAAGCCTCTACATATGACTGTTAATTGACGGGTCAGTGCGGGCCGCATTAACACGCATCCAGCCGAGCGCTAGGCCACACAAACACGCAACGGGCCAAACAAACACCCGACGGGCCACACAAACACGCGGTCGCGCTTCGCTCGGCCGCGCCCCCACCAGCTTGTGCTCCGCTAGCGCCACGGCCTCTGCGGCCGACCTGGCTGCGAGGCGCGGCGCTCGCTGACGCCCTCGGTCGGTTGGCAGCAGTGATACAGCTAAGCTTACCGTTCCTGGCCAGGCCGATCCTGGGCCCAGGATCGCCGCATGCGCCCACGTGCCCAAGCCAGGAGGGCGTATACACAGTGTGCACCGATCGTGGGCCCAGGGTGGGCCCGGCCAGGATCGGATTGGGGGTGTAATAGGTGGTGCCCTCCTGCTCAGTGCCGTTGGCGAGGCGCGCAGCGCGCGGCCTTCCCGCGCCGCTGGCGCGCGGCGGGGAGTGCCCCGCCGAAGGCGGCGGGCGGGCGCCCCTCGGGGCGGACTTTCGGCGGGGAGGTTGCGGGGCCGAGCGCTGCGGTGGTGTGCCGGTCGCGCGAGGCTCTCGCGGCGCCGCGCCGCGGCTCGCACGGCTCCTCACTCGAGGCCTCCCAGACGGGGTGCAAGCAGGTGGGATCGAAGGATCGCGCCGCATTGCGGATGCATCGGCGATTCGGCGCGATGTGGAGGCCGATTTTCATTTCACCACGCCGATGCATCGCCGATGCTTCGCCGATGCGTCGGCGATGCACCGGCGATGCGGCGCGATTTTCTGACCTCGTTTACTCGGACACCTCATAGGAGGCCTCCACGCCCCGTCCCTCCCTCGTCGCGATCGCTCGTCGTCGTCCTCCTCCTCCCTCTCCTGGTTCACCGCTCTCGCAGGTGTGCGCTGTAGGTGGCTTGCTCTGGGGGGCCAGGCGTGCTGCATCGGGCGGCGTTGCCGAGCACGACAGAGAGAACGGCCCCGTGGCGCGGGCGCCATCGACATGTGCCGGCGGTGGGCAGGAGGCGGGCAGGGCGGCAGGGGTCTTCGCAGAGCGCCCGTGCTCCTCCTCCTACTCCCGCTTCCCCCTCTTTCCGGCGTGCCTCTCCACTGGGACCACGCTGCCCTCGCCTTCGGTGGCCGGTGCTGGTCGCCCACCTTCCAGCACACCAGTTCTCGGTGCCTGAGGCCGCCCGCGCACTCCTCGTGGTCTGGACTCTCTACGCCTGCGGCCTCCCCCCTCGCGTTCCCTCTCCGCCGCGCCCTCTTCCGTTCCTCTTGTCCAGTGTGCGCTAGCCTGGCGCGGGTCGCCGGCTTTCGGCCGCGCTTGGTGCTCGCCTTCGCCGCTGACCAACAAATTGTGCCATTCGGGCAACGAGGTCTAGACATGTCCGCTGCCTCAGGCCTGGCCTGGGCCCAGGAATGGTATATATGTATTCCTGGCCAAGGCAGGAGGGCGTATACACCGCCCCTGGGCCCAGGACGGGCCAGGCCTGAGCAGCAGATATGTGTATATATTTATGTGTATATCTATGTATATTTGTATAAGTATAGATATATAGATGTATTCCGTGGCCCCAGGCAAGTTGAACCTTTAAGGCACGCCAGCTTTGTGATTCTACCACTTCAGGCATAGAGCTCGTCGATGGCTGCTTGTCTGCGTTCAAAAAGGAAGCCGGCAGGGCGGCCTTTGTGTGAGTGGGCGTCTGCCTCATTCAAAGTCCCCGAGCCCTGTGAGATGCCTCGGCGAAGGGACCGATGCGTTCTGAGGATCCCTCTGCCTTCCCAGAAGACCGCCCCCACCGCCCTTCAGGGGTAACGTCTTGGCGGGATAGGCTCAGGAGGGGATGCATCGACCCCCAATCACCCCTTCGTCGCCGATTGGAGGCTGATAGCCCGTCCCGCCCAGGAATGTGCGGTTTTGCTATCGAGAGCTTTTCGCCGATTCATCCGCGATGCGTCGCCGATTCCAGGTCGATGTTCCCCTCCCCCTCCCTCGAGCCGGTCCCTCCTATCGATGCCCCTCAGCGCTGCTCCCCTTTGCTCGTCGCCAGCTCGCGAGTCTACCGGCCCCGTCGTGTTCTGTTGACAGGGTGTGCTACCCCTACCCCCAGCGCCCCCCTGCATCGCGGGCATGGGGCGTAAGGCATCCGCAGGTTCGAGCCCTGGGGCCCTCAGAGGGCCCCGCGATCTTCAAAACAAACAGCTCCCGATGTAAATCCTGCCCCAGGGGAGGGGTCCCAGAATTCCAGGGGTGCATACTGAAGCCATCGCGACGTGGGTGGTCTGCAGAGGTCGCGCTGCGCGTGCGGGTGGAGTTCTTCAAGTCAGGTTGTCCGTCCTGAGTCCTCGCACGCCTGGTCGCGTGTGTGGGTCTCAGCTGGGCAGTGGTTGCATTGGCGCTCCAAGACGCAGCTTGCACCGTGGGCGATTTGCACTGCCTACATCGTACGCATTCCCGACCTGGTGATGCCTCGCTTCCCTCCAAACGCCGAGGCAGCTTGAGATGGCCCGCGCAGCTGCGGAGGAGGAGCCCTTCCCCGCGCCGCTGGGCTCTGGGCTCTCTCTGCGACCTCTGCCACTCTTCTCTTGACTAGCTGCCTGTCTTCGGCTGGCACGAAAGTGTGGAGTTTGCCTTGACAGGTAGTCCTCTGGGCGCGTGTGCCGCTGTGTGGCACATTTAGATCGAGACTGCAGGACCTGGTCGGCAGATCCCCATGAGTTGCGAGCCCACGAGCCAGATCTAGGTCAAATGATCGGCATTACGCCCAAGGCCAGTGTATGCGCATTAAGGTCGCCATGCAGGAAAATGGGATGGGGGAGCCCAGCTGAAGGCTGGCATAGTCGGAAGGCGATGTAGATATTGTGCAGGGTTCCAGAGGCGAGCGTTGGGTACGCGCAGGCTCCAGCCTCCCAAACTGCATCAGGGTATCAGCGAGGAAGACTTGAGCCAGCCCGCACCGCATCTCATCACATATGCGGCTAGGGGTAGACGCGGCAGTTGGTCAGACTATCGGTGCCCAGGTAACCGCTTCTGGCGTGGCATGCGTGCTGGGGTGGAAGAGGAGAGCGGCCTCCGGTGCAAGGGGCGTGGTTTGGGTTGCGTTCCTCCACCCCCCCCTCTCGTCCACCCTCTTCCCTGGGGCTCCGAGCTGGCCCGTCGCAGCTTTCCTTCCAGGACGGCGAGGCACCAGGGGACATGGAGGGGTGGCGTGGGGGGGAGAACGGGGGGGGGGTCTGGAGCAAGGTGGGCGCGCTCGCGCCGTATTTGACATCTCAGTAGCGGGAAGGCTTAGGGAATGAACGCGCAGAGAGGGTAACGCGCTGGCGCCACCCGCCATGGGAAGGAACGGGTAGAGAGGGTCAGAATTATCCTCTCTACCCGTTCCTTCCCATGGCGCTGATGTTAACACATCCGCCCACAGGACCCCTCATCGTGTTGTGCGCGGTCAGATCTGGAGAACCCTTCACGATAGCTTCGTGCCGTGTCGACGCGGCGGCGGCCCCGCCGCGGGCGTTCAGGGTTTAACGTCGCCAGAGGCCCAGAGTCGGCCACGATGGAACGATCCAGCGATCGAAAAGCCGCCGATCGTTCAAGGTTGAACAACCCACGCGGTGCCAGAAGCCAACGCCAGGGTCGTCACGACACGAACCTGCCGTACCGCCCCCCTCCCCCCCCGGATCCGTACAGTCGGACCGAGGAATATGATCGAGGTGGGTTCGGGGAGGGTACCCAAGTAGTCCTCGCACTTGTTGGATGTTCTCGTGCATCCTGGGGAGGGTACCCTTGGATCTTCTGCTTGTTTTGGCCGACGGAGGGTCTCTCGTGTTGTCGAAGCATGTTCTTCTGGCCCAGGTCCGACTGTATTCGTGTTGGCTGAAGACCCGGCGGCGGCTCTCGGCGCCCGCGCGTTCCGCGCGATGCCAGTGGCAGCTCGCGAGAGGCGGTGGGCGTTCGCGGCGATGCCATGACAGCCCCGCCTGCGGCGCAATCCGGCCCTGGAGCTGCCGGACACGAGGGAGCGGCCGTGCACGCCAAGCTCAGGGGCAGTGTTGGGGTTAAGTCGGGCCTGTCCCCCTACAGGGGGATTTTCGACGAAAAATAAAAGATACTTCAATAATAATCCAACCATAGTCCAAAAATAGTCTGTGGACTATTCTTTGAGCATTTTTCGATCATTTTGGGGCATTTTTGGGGTATTTTTTTTTAATTGTTCGTCGAAAATCCCCCTGTAGGGGGACAGGCCCGACTTAGTGTCGGGGTTGTCGGACGGGGCTGCATCCCCCTTCGCAATCGAACGCAAGCTCGTCCCGCGACGTGGCGGCGCGCCAGGACCTCAAGGCTTTCCATACTCGCGCCGAAATGGGCGACCGCAAGCACAACACTCGGACCCCGTGGGCCGAGTTTCGCGCGTCGACCACCATCAAAAATCTGTGCTCTTGATATCGATGGGGGCTGTAGGGCGAGGATAAACCTGTTCGAGAGCGGTCCAGAGCGTTCCGGATCGCTCCGAGGAGGCCGTCGTCCGAGACATCCTCCAGAGCCGCCGCCGCCGGATCTCATAGATTCTCGTTTGATCCTCACCTGATTTTATCCTCGTCCTGGCTTCGTCTTACGTGGGAGTGGCTCAGCGGGGGATGCATCGACCCCCAATCGCCCACTCAGCGCCGACTGGCCGCCCCGCCCAGGAGCGTCAGAATCTGCTATCGGGGGCCCATCGTGAAGACGGGCCTGTCCCTCTACAGGAGCAGTATCAAAACTTATAAAGAATAGTCTCGGGTCGATGTTCCTATTATTCTCTGACTATGGTGGAATACTTTTGGATGACCCTTGACCCTTTTCCATTTTTTCCGCCCAAGATCCGCCCGTAGCAGGGCATGCCCGACCCGAGCCTACCGCCGATCCCAGCTCGATGCTTCCCCCCCCGAGCAGCCCCCCCCCCGCCCCCTCGCGCCCCCCTTCCGAAGCGCACCAGCCTGGCAGACCTCGTGGGGCCGGGCGCCGGGCCTCGTGATGCAGAGCCTGCCCCCGCCAGCCGGGGGGCTGCCGAAGGTGCCCCTGGCCCAGGGTGCCCCCCGCTTTCCGCTCGACCTTTGGAACACGGGCCCCCCAGAATCGTGGAGGCCCGTCCACAAGAAGTTCCTCCTCCTCCCTCCTCCTCCCTCCTCCTCCCTCCTCCTCCTCCTCCTCCTCCTCCACTCCTCCTCTCCTCCTCCTCCTCCTCCTCCTCCTCCTCCTCCTCCTCCTCCTCCTCCTCCTCCTCCTCCCCCTCCCGGCGCGGCGGAAGGCCCTCTGGGCTTCGTGGGGGATGCCCTTCAAGGGAGAAAAACCACCCAGACCGGACCATTGGCGTTTACCAAACGGCCCTGGGCGTTTACCAAACAGCCCTGCCCTGTTTGATTCTCTCTCTGTGGGTGCGTTCACTGAGCGGCCTGTGTGTCGGGGTGGTTATTATCGGGGGTGGATTTTCTGCCCTCTAGCACTGGCGGCTGTGGGGGAGATCCTGGGGGCACCGTGTGCCAGGGGCACTTCTAGCAGCACCCGAGCCAGCTCCAGTGCCTCGGGTGCTGGCGCATCCCGCCTTGCGCAGGGCGTAGTGGCCAACGGCGTCGGGGTGAAAGGTGCTCCGGCGCAGCGCTCGCCGGCGGCCGGGGGTCAGCGCGCCCCGCGCTCGGCGCGGGCCGCCGCGTCGGCGGCGGAGCCCCCGACGCAGAGAGGCTACTGGGAGGTGGGGCACTGCTCGTGGGCCGTGCACAGGCCAGGATGCAACTCTTGGGGGGTTAGACTCTCAGGGGCTGCTGAAGGTGACCCTGGCCCAAGGTGCCCCCAGCTCGTCGCCTAATTTTGGAACCCCTCGGTCCCTCTGGGCCTCGTGCGGGGTGCTCGGGAGCAGTGGGGTGCTCGGGAGGCCGTGGGGGCCTCCTTGGAAATCCCGGGGGCACCTAGGGCCACGGGCACTTCTAGCAGCACCCGAGATTCAGACTCGGACCCGGTGTATGCCCGGTCGAAACCGGCCACAGCTGGCCCACCCCCGCGGAATCCCGCTCGGTCCGGCATCGGCCCGCTTGGTCCCCGTTGCTCCGGCTCCATCTCGGGCTCTCTCCGGCCTGATCTGGCTCAGTTGCCCCTCCACTGAGCGAAGGATTGCAAAAAAAACCCTGGATTGCAAAAAAACCCAGGATTGCAACAAAAACCTGGATTGCAAAAAAACCCAGGGTTTTTTTGCAATCCTTCGTTCAAGAGAGGGCTTCGTCGTTCTGGCGAGGGCCTCCCAGGAACGGCCTCCCGGCACAGGGCGCGCGGCGAGCGGCCGGCGGTCGGGCCGCGGGGCTGGAGGAGCGACCTCGGCGCTGGCGAGCAGAGCCCCTGGTGGTGCGGCGAGCGGCAGGCTGCGGTGCGGAGGCTGGCCCGGACGCTGCGGGATGCCGGGCGTCCCGCCGAGGGGGAGGGGAAAGGTCGGCGGCGAGCGGGAGGGGAAGTGAGGAGGGGCGGGCCTTCTCCGAAATCTCGGACGTTCCCTGGCCCTCCGAGAAGTTTCTGGGGCTTTCCTCGAGGACGGTAAAGACTTCTCAGGAGGCGCGAGGGCTTCTGAGAAGTCCCGCCGCCTTCTGGGAAGGCCTTCTCCTTCTCACTTCCCCCTCGCTCGCCGTCGAAAAGGGAAAGAAGTCGCACGCCCTCCCGGGCGAGTCCGGTAAGGCGCAGGTGATGCCTGCGGTCTGCGCGCGGCTGGTGAGCTGCGCTCGCTGTTCGCCCGCTGGCCCTGGCACAACCTGCTTCCGCCCCCGACGTGTAGCCTCACCTCAGTGTGGGCAGGGTGTTCGTTGCGAGCTCAGTTTCCCAGGCGGGCTCTGCTCAAGATTCGCAGTCGTGTCGTGCCAGAGGGTCCGTGGCCACAGCATGTTCGGGCGCGGTTCCTGGCTCTCTGGTGGCCACACGGGGCGCTAGGCTTCAGTGGTCTATCATTCCCCGAACAGTGTGCGCAATCAGGGGGTCTTGGTGATCGTTTTCTCGTGCCTTGTTTCGCCAATCGGCGCGGGCCCTCCCCGCCCCGCTCCGCCCCCCCCCCATGGAGTAGGTCTTGGTTGTTTTTGGCGCCTGTTTCAAGCAGGTGGGGTTTCCCCCCCCATCGGACGCACTTTTTGTTGCACGCAGTCGCATTAAGCAGAGGTCCGGAGCCAGACCCCCTTCCTCCCCCCCTTACGCCCAATGTCGGAACGTCGGAGTAACAAACGTTCACTTGTTTGCTCTGTTGTTGGGCAGTTGGCCTGCACTTGCAGGTGTTCGCCCCGCGGCCTCCCGTGGGCGCCTCCTGGCTGCCCCGTGCGCCGGCTGGCGCTTCCGGGGTCCCTTCGCCGGGTGCAGTCCGGGTGGGCGGTTTGTGGCCGCCCCGCGCGGTGTGATTGGGATAGTTATGATGGCAATGATGGTGAGGGTGGTGGTGGTGCTGCTGCTGCAGATGATAATGATGATGACGAGGACGAGGACGAGGACGAGGACGATGACGATGACGATGACGATGACGATGATGGTGATGATGATGATGCTGATGTTGATGACGACGATGATGATGATGATAGTGATGATGACGATGATGACAATGATGATGATGGTGATGATGGTGATGATGGCAATGATGGTGCTGATGGTGATGATGATGGTGATGACGGCAATTCTGATTAGGCTGATGGTGATGGAGATGATGATTACGATGGCGATGGCGATGACGATGACGGTGATGATGATGGTGATGATGATGACGACGACGATGGTGATGATGATGATGATGATGATGTTGATGATGAAGATGATGCTGCAAATGATAACTATGATGATGCTGATGATGATGAACAAGACGGCGACGAAGATGATGACGATGACTTTAACGATGATCAGGCGGAAGATCATGACGCTGAGGAGGAACACTGATGCGGAGGAGGAGGAGGAGGGATGAGGGATCATGATGATGACTGATGATGATGACGATGATGATGATGATGATGACTATGTTGATGATGATGATGCTGATGATGATGATGCTGGTGATGCTGATGACGATGATGATGATGATGATGACGACGATGATGAATATTATGATGATGATGACGATGCTGATGATGATCAGCAGCGGGCACATGATGCTGATGACGATGATGATGACGATGATGATGTTGATGATGATGATGATGGTGACGATGACCATGCTGGTGATGATGATGACGATTATGATTGCGATGATGATGATGATGATGATGATGATGATGATGATGATGATGATGATGATGATGATGGTGATGCTGTTGCCGCTGATGACGATGATGATGATGCTGATGATGACGATGATGACGATGAAGATGATGACGATGATGATGATGATGATGATGATGATGATGATGATGATCATGATGATGGTGATACTGCTGATTATGATGATGATGCCGCTGCTGCTGATGATGCTTATGATTGTTACTGATGATGTGGATCAGTGATGGTAGTTTTTTTTTGTTTTCTTTTTTCTTTAAAATAAAAATCAATTTTCCCAGTGCGACCCTACCTAGGAGTTGGAGCCCCTAGGAAAGCAGCATTATTAGTCACAGTAAAGCTGAGGTAAAGCTAAGCTAAAGCTAAGCTAAAGCTAAGCTAAAGCTAATTTGAAGCTAAGCTAACGCTAAGCTAAAGCTAAGCTAAGGCTAAGCTAACACTAAGCTAAAGCTAAGCAAAAGCTAAGCTGAAGCTAAGCCAAAGCTAAGCTAAATCTAAGCTAAAGCTAAGCTAAAGCTAAGCTAAAGCTAAGCTAAAGCTAAAGCTAAGTATAAGCTAAAGCTAAGCTAAAGCTAAGCTAAAGCTAAGCTAAAGCTAAGCTAAAGCTAAGCTAAAGCTAAGCTAAAGCTAAGCTAAAGCTAAGCGAAAGCTAAGCTAAAGCTAAGCTAAGGCTAAGCTAAAGCTAAGCTAAAGCTAAGCTAAAGCTAAGCTGAAGCTAAGCCAAAGCTAAGCTAAAGCTAAGCTAAAGCTAAGCTAAAGCTAAAGCTAAATCTAAGCTAAAGCTAAGCTGAAGCTAAGCGAAAGCTAAAGCTAAAGCTAAGCTAAAGCTAAGCTGAAGCTAAGCGAAAGCTAAGCTAAAGCTAAGCTAAAGCTAAGCTAAAGCTAAGCTAAAGCTAAGCCGAAGCTAAGCTAACACTAAGCTTAAGCTAAGCTAACACTAAGCTGAAGCTAGGCTAAATCTAAGCTAAATCTAAGCTAAAGCTAAGCTAAAGCTAAGCTAACACTAAGCTGAAGCTAAGCTAAAGCTAAGCTAAAGCTAAGCTAAAGCTAAGCTAAAGCTAAGCTAAAGCTAAGCTAAGGCTAAGCTAACACTAAGCTAAAGCTAAGCTGAAGCTAAGCTAAAGCTAAGCTAAAGCTAAGCTAACACTAAGCTGAAGCTAAGCTAAAGGTAAGCTAAAGCTAAGCGAAAGCTAAGCTAAAGCTAAGCTAAAGCTAAAGCTAAAGCTAAAGCTAAAGCTAAAGCTAAGGTAAAGCTAAAGCTAAGGCTAAAGCTCCCAGGGGACTGGGGGAACCGCGGGGCGGGGACTGGGGGAACCGCCCGGGGCGGTTAGCATTGCCCGGCCCTTTAAGCAAAGAGAGTAAGAACCCTTCTAGGCAGAGCCTAGGTAGGGAATGAGGATGGAACGTATATGAGGCGTACAAGAGGCGCATGATGCTGCTGAGAATGACGAGCAGGAGGAGGAGGAAGAGGAGGAGGAGGAGGAGGAGGAGGAGGAGGCGGCTAGACAAGGAGGACGAGGAGGGACGAGGACGGACCAGGAGGCATGTGGGAGATCATGATGTTGACAGCGGCGATGATGATGCTGATGATGATGATGCTTATGATGATGCTGATGATGATGCTGATGGTGATGATGATGATGCTGATGCTGATGGTGAGGATGATGGTGGCGATGATGATGATGATGATGAAGCAGATGATGAATACACGACGATGAGGGTGATGATGCTGCTGATGATGATGATGCTGATGCTGCTGCTGATGATGATGCTGATGCTGCTGATGATGCTGATTGTGGTGATGGTGGTGGTGCTGCTGATGATGATGATGACCATGATGCTGATGCTACTGCTGCTGCTGCTGATGATGATGGTGATGATGATGATGCCACTGCTGCTGCTGATGATGCAGATGATGATGACGATGATGATGATGATGCTGCTGATGATGATGATGATGCTGCTGCTGATGATGATGATGATGCTTATGCGGATGATGCTGATGTTGATGGTGATGGTCCTGCTGCTGCTGATGAGGATGTGAATGAGGATGAGGATGATCATGAGGATGAGGATGATGAAACTGATGCTGTCGATGATGATGATGATGCTGCTGCTGATGCTGCTGATGCTGATGCTGATGCTGCTGCTGATGATGATCCTGGTAGTGGTGTTGATGATGGTGATGGTGATGATGATGATGATGCTGATGATGATGATGATGATGATGATTATGAT